TCTCAGTATCTTTGCTTTTTCTCTGCGGAGATTTGTATGCTGCTTCTTCTTGACTTAGTCTTGGAGATTTCTAGTCCTTATATTCATAGGCTGAGAGCCAGAAAGCCGTATTCCCAGTTATTAAGCAAATCGTGTTGTATAATGTTGAGCGAATCTGCCTAGAATATTTGAACTGTTCAGCCGAAAGATCTACTTGTACAGGATTTCATCACTTTTTGAGTGAGCTATTTAGGTAGTGATGCACTAACATTCGAGCGATAAATATCTGTCTTTCTGACTGGCCATGTTTCACAAGCATATACTAACACTGGTCTGATAGATGCTCTGTATATCATCAGCTAATTACGCATTCTGAAGTCTGAGTGGGACCAGACTGTTCTGACTAGAAGCCTAAATGTATTTGGAGCCTGTGTGATTCGGTTCCTGATTTCTTCTTTGGCCTGTCCGTTGGCTAGTATATTGGAGCCCAAGTAGCGGAAGCAACTAACTTCTTTGATGGGTTAATCACTGATAAACAGTGATTGTATTGTGCCAAGATTCTTAGTCAGGAACTTCGCCATGCGTATATTAATCGTAAGACCAACAGTTGCAGCGAAGATGGTGCTTCGGTCTAGTATTAATTGTGGTGACTGAAAGGTATTACCAAGTACAACTATGGAATTGGCATACTTCAAGTCAGATACTTTGGATTCAGAGCTCACTTCACATTTACTATCAGGTAGAATTGGTTGACACGTCCCCTAATCGATCAAGAGGCTGAAAGTTACTGGGGAAAGAAGGCATCCTTTTTGAACTCCAGAAGTCAGTGGGATAGAATCTGATTCTTCATCAAGGGCTCTTACTCAGGCTGATATTGTGCTATAGTAGGCTTTGATCAGATTGAGCAAATTTATTGGGAGTCCGTCAGCAGGCAAGATTTCATATGAAGCTTTTCTCTCGATGGGATGCATGGGATGTTGAAGTCGATGAAACAGGCAGTGGTGATCTGTTGATCGCGCTCAATCGAAAACATATTGAAGATGGTCACAAACACTGGCAGCTATATCGATGAGACCGATATCGTAATAATTCGAACATATAGACATGTCATCGCACTTAGGTATAGCAGGATGGTGGACAATGACCAATCAGTTGGGATAACCTTTGTAGAACATATAGTCAAGTACAGTCGATGAAGTGATTCTGTCAAAGCAGAACAGCCAGGTTTGTAGACTTTCGCTGGAATACCATCCTCACCCGATCCCTTACGACCTTTCAGTTGTCACAATGTTTCCAATTCCAATTCCATACGCAGCTCGCAGTCAATATCGTATGGAATTCTAGTTGATAGCTTTAGGTTCGCAGATTGACGTATAGACGGATCTATTAGCTCTGTGAAGTGCTCTCGCCATCGATCGATCTTGCCAGCCATATTAGTTGTCAATTGGCCCGAGTTATCCCGAAGGGCGTTGCAATGCGGTTTATGTTTGCCAGATGCTTTACGTAAGAGGTAATAGCGCTCGTCGAAGTTACCAGAGATTGAAACCGACTCCACGGAGTCAGCTAAATCGGTCAACTGTTTCTGATGGTCACATCTTGCTGATCGCGTATATTGGGTCTCAATGAACGATAATGCCATGAGCTGAGCAACCGGGCGGTCCTAGCTTGAGCCGAGGGTTGGGGATCCTCGTGGAGATTAAGTCCTTTCTCGGTACTACCTGTTGTTGAAAGATTGAATGCATTGCACTTTGTGTATCGTCCCCCGAGAGTGGCCACTGGGTATCAGGCGAAGTTTGATTATCAACGTTATCTGGAGGTTTTGTATGCACAGTAGACTAATCTCTGTTCCGTGAAGTGAAATATTAATTGAAAGTTCGATCGAGTCGTCCTCTTCTCAAGGGTGCCTGTCTTGTAATACATCGTTACCAGGACC